CCTTTACTTCTCATGACTGCACCTGTGACCCACTCGAGGCTAGGTCGACATGGGAGTCAGTCATTTGGGGGGGGGGGGGGGGGGGGGGGGGGGGGAGAAAAGTCCAGTACCGTTTAGATTTGAACATTCCACCTTCGGGTCCATGGGCAAGCGTTTAGTGGTCACACCTTTTGCCATGCGCACTGAAGGTCGTAGGCTCGTTTCACAGCTGCGCCGTTAGTTTACGAGCCCAATTTACAGAGACCTTCATGGATCGTCGCCAGGGCTACGGAGTTCGTGCTTTGTGAGAGGTCTTTGCAGGCGGCTAGCTGTACCGTGGAAAGAGACCGAGCCATACGGGATAAAACCCGGTGCAGTATATCCTCTCAAAGTTAACCTTAATACTAGAGGGACAAGTGAAAGGCGGGCAACAAAAAGGTAGACAACGATACAGGGGGGGGGGGGAATAACACGAAGAAATGGATGACAAGCAGTTCCGAGAAAGTAAAAACTGGGATACAGGCAGAGCATATTTGGAGACCCACTGCAGCCAACCTATACTGTGCGAAGGGCGTGTGAATGAACTGTTCTCTCCTCGTGCCCTTCCATGAATTAATATTACCCCCATCTATCAGCCTTTTAGAAATAACGCACATCTTCCTTAGATTTATTACAACTACAACGTTTTCTTCCTCTTCTTCGGCATTCCGAGCCCTTGAGGTTTATTGCTGCATATATCACCCGCCTCTATTCATCTCTCTGGTTGACCTTCAGGTCCCTGTCTGAGAGGCGGGGAACCAAAAGCTTGCACACAAATACGTCAGATCGGTAAAATGGATGTACATGCAAAACTTTGGAATAATACTGTGATAGGCTCGAGAACGACAAAGACTGCTGTTCAGAAGTGGACGCAAAGAAGAAAGAAGAAGAAGAAGAAGAAGAAGAAGAAGAAGAAGAAGAAGAAGAAGAAGAAGAAGAAGAAGGAGAAGGAGAAGAAGAAGAAGAAGAAGAAGAAGAAGAAGAAGAAGAAGAAGAAGAAGAAGAAGAAGAAGAAAGAAGAAGAAGAAGAAGAAGAAGAAGAAGAAGAAGAAGAAGAAGAAGAAGAAGAAGAAGAAGAAGAAGAAGAAGAAGAAGAAGAAGAAGAAGCAGCAGCGGCGGCAGAAAAGAAGCAGAATCTCATAATGTGAGAACCACTAGTCTGAACGTCTGAACCGGGAAAAAAGCACGTACCAACAACACACCAAGGTACACAACAGGGCTAGCCAGACAGACGTGCTGGCAAAACGACGTACAGTGTTTATCCAGGCATCTCAATCAGGTATTCACAACAAGAAAATGACGTCCACGAAAGTTGGGAACAGTTTGGGTTTGTCTTTCTGTATTTATTTAAGTAGTGGCGTGAGGGTTTGAATAACCGCCAGGTTTAAACAATCAGATCCGCCATCGGAAAACTGCATTTACAAATTACTCTTGATAAGTAGAGCGAGCTGACCTAACCGGCTTTGAATATATAAAAGTTGAATAATTGAAATGTAGGTGTAACCTTTGTTGTGGAGTTAAGTGTCTGTGGGTGATGTCTGTGAGACTGTGTGGAGTTAAGTGTCTGTGGGTGATGTCTGTGAGACTGTGTAGAGTTGGCAATGAACATGTACAGGCAGATATGAGAATATATAAAAAGGAAGAAAAACATGGCGAACAGAGGGACGGGTAAATGATCTAAAGCAAGCAAAGACTAAAAAGAAAAAAATCGCAGATAAGAAGCTAGACTCATCAGACTCAGACAGAAAAGGTTTGAAGGCTCCGGATCAACATAGGGATACAGGTGTTGAAGGAGATAAACTTTGCGGTTCATGCTCCTCTGGCTATTTCTACTATAGACGAATGGAACTGAGGTTTGAGGTTTTGAACAACGGATCAACATCATAGCACACGGGTAGTAACCCATAAGTGCTCGGTTTTTCTTCTAACTCAAGTGTGAGACCGAAGCAGCTCAGCACAGTGCACAGGCTCTGTAGCACCGGTGAGGATCCTTAAATACTTTGGGTAGCTTTTAAACTCAGAAATTTTGATTGGGCAGAGCCGTTAGGCTCTTTTTTAAAATCGATTTCAAACTGCCTAGGGATTTTTTTTAACGTACGTACACGGGCGTCCGATCTCACTACCCAGAGACTAGGGAGAATTACTAGAAGTCCAAGTCCAAGTGAAAAAAATGCCAGACCTTAACCCAGAACCTCTAACACTCGAGGAGGACAGCATGCCTCGAGACCACGCAGCACCAAGGACAAGGAGTCAGGAATATGGAAAAATGAATGAGCTGATAGAAAACAATATGAAACAAATAAACCAATTCTTTGTTTAAAGCACTTTCCGCGTGGGTTCCGGGGCCCTTGTGGGGTTTAAGTTTCATAAGAGGCATACTAATTTGTATAAAAGCTTGAACAAGTAAGGGGGGAGCGCGCGCGCGTACACACACACACACACAGAGAGAGAGAGAGAGAGAGAGAGAGAGAGAGAGAGAGAGAGAGAGAGAGAGAGAAGGTTGGGAAACACTGCTATAGATGGTCAGGGGTGACACTGAATCCCTACAATACGACTAACTAACCAAGCTACAAGAGAGATCGACCGACAGTCACCACAGCGACACCAACTGCCTCATAAGGCGACCCAGCAACAAGCGGGTGAACGGCTAATGATTAGCAGCACAGACTGACACAATCGACTTTTTGAATTCAAAAGTTTAAATCCTTAACTATATCCGTATTCGTGTTGTGTGTGCTGTTAAGCTATCTAATTTGTACAACGCGGGTGTGTTTGTGCGACTGTGTGATGTATGTAAACAAGCAGAACCGACTGGCCTGTGAGTGGGTAATCCTTTGCAAATAAAAGTCCGTTCGTTCGTTCTCTCTCTCTCTCTCTCTCTCTCTCTATATATATATATATATATATATATATATATATATATATATATATATATATATATAGAGAGAGAGAGAGAGGATGGGAACGGGACTTTTATTTCCAAATGGTTACAAATTAGGCACGCAGGCCCCTCTAACATTCGGCCCTTTTAAGCAAGTATATGGCACACAGCATCTGCATTTCTATATCTAAAGCATATTGTGTTCATATATCAAAATTCTTCCGGTTAACTTCCGGTTAAAATGGACGCTAGGCAGCGGCACTGTTCGAAGCAAAGGCAAATTTTTTGCTTCTGCCGATGGTGGTCGGTGCATTTTTGCTCCATTTGTAGACTGGATATAGTTTCGTCACCCAGCTTCTGAGTTGAATGCATGGTGTGACACTGTGAGCTGCGGATTGCATTTGGAATGTTTTTTTCGACTGTGACCAACGTGGTGGTGTGAATTGTAGATTCAGAAAATGGTGCGATGCCTGTCGTGCAATGTTGGCGGTGCCCGTATGTGATTAAAATTGATCGCGTGGGCAACTGCTGATTTGTTGGCGACAAGTTCCGCTATCATCAATGATGGACTGCATTTCTAATGCTGGACTGTTTGTGTTAACACTTCGGATGGCTACCGTATGCTTTAATGCGAGTGTATGCTAGATATGCTGAGACAGCAATCTGTCAATCTTTCCACAAGGGACTGTGATAAACATTCTGTGTGCTTTTCGTTGGCACAGGAGCGGAGCAAAGATGGGGTGACCCGTTTGCTATGAAGCTGAAACTAAGACTACCAGACCAGACACAACACATACACACAGACTCGATAAACGCACAATATTCACAGACACAGCACAAACAGACACAACATATACACACACACACTCGATAAAAGCACAATATTCACAAACACAGCACAAACAAACACAACATATACACACAGAAATAACACTCACAATACTAACAGACGCAACATACGACACACATAAAGAGAGAGGGAGAGAGAGATAGAGGGAGAAAAGGGGACAGACAAATGTAGAACAGGCAGATGATGTTGAGTGCACGTAGACAGGTGAGTGCACGTAGACAGGTGAGTGCACGTAGACAGGTGCGTGAACAAATAATTTCTACAGTTGGGTTTGAAGTAAATTTCCAGCACAACGGGAGCAGGAAAGCGGGGTGATTCGGGGAAGGAGGGAGGGGTAGAATTACCATCAATAAAATTATGTGGTGTATTAATGTCAAAGAAGCCGGGTTTACAGCAAAAGACAAGATAACTAACTACCGATTATTGCCACATCTCTGTTCAGGGCAAATAATGAACTGAAGACGGTACATGAGAATAATAACTGCAGACAAAACACACAACTGCTGATAAGAATAACGAGTGTAGGCAATAAAAATAACTTCAGTTAAGGCGATGTAACTGGACAAGAAAAATAATCAATGCAGATGGCCGTTAACGTATGCGGGTTGGAAAGCATCCCATTTGGGGGGGGGGGGGGGAGGGGGGGGGGCAAGAATAGACCCACTGTCCCGAAACGAAAATGCCAAGGGCTGAGTGGCACTAAGGTAAGGTATCCGCCTAAATTGCTGGAGGTCCCAGGTTCATGCCCCGGTGAAGGCTGGGATTTTTTCACATGGACTTCTAGTCATTTTCCCTAGTCTCTGTGTAGTAAAACTGGACGCCTGTTTATATTGTTGGACACGTAAAAAATCCCTTGGCAGTTGGAAATCGAAAAAAGAGTAGCCTAGCGGCGCTGCCCGGGAAAAGTTGAGATAAAAATCTACCCAAATTATTTAAAGATCCTCGTCGGTGCAAGTTTGCGCTGATATTTGTCAAAATCAGACGTGTTAGAAGTAGAATGGAGCATTTCTGGGTTACACCCGTGTGCAAAAAACATTAACATTCGGATGTGTTCGGTCGAAAATCGCAGATGTTGCAGTCTAGCTGTAAACCACAGATATATATATATATATATGTGTGTGTGTGTGTGTGTGTGTGTGTGTGTGTGTGTGTGTGTGTAAGAGAGACAGAGACCGACAGACAGAGCGACTGACAGCCAGCAGACACACACACACACACACACACAGACGGGGGAAAAACCTGTTAACTCACCTTATGTAAGGAATCTCCGCCTACAGAACCACCGGTTCCCTCGCCCATACCAGTCAAGATCTTCAAGCGATTTCCAGGAGCTATTCCATGTTTGCCGCGGAGGGAGCATAGCCACCAGCCGTCCAAGCCTTTGGTGTCCCTCTCTATGACCGTCAGCACATCACCCCGGCGAAAGGCCAGCTCATCTGCCGCCTCCGCAACGTTGTCGTACAGAGCCTTCGCCAAGAACATACCCTGCGACAGAAAGAGAGATGAACACACTTGATTAACAACTAATTACCGCTGTTGTCCCAAGAAAGCCGGTTTTCCGACTTTTACGGGTGTTTTGTGATTAGACGTCTTTAGACAGCAGCCAGTACGCCTATACAATTGCCTTGGTACTGGCTGCAACTGTATAGTGTGTACAGGTGGCGGGTATTATGATTATATTTACCACCACCCCCTCAAAAAAAAAAAAAAAAAAAAAGATATTTGGACTAAAAAGTCATTTTGGTCTCAAACTTACAATGAAGTCACTTGACTGTTGTCTCTGTCAACAAAACGATTGTTTTATTGGTCAAAGGGAAGAAAGGAAACCAGTTATTTCGTTGCTCTGTTCGTATTTAGTGATTACTTCTATCATTATAAAAAAAATCAACACTGGCACCAAAACAGGTCTCTAACCATATATATATTTCTTTTAATCCTTGTGTGGGTTCCGGGGCACCACTGCCTGCCCAAAAGCATGTCGTATGTGTCGACTAATTGGGAGAGGCAAGGAACCCGCAGTCTGCATACAGATAAGTCAGATCTGTAAAACGGATGCCAAGGCAACACTCAGAATCTGGAACACGACTACAGTCCCAGAAGTGGATGAACAACCAGAACTTTCCGCCGATGGTTACAGCTGGTGAACGCGAAGAAGAAAGAAGAAGACATTTAAAAAATCTGGTAAAGTTAAGACGAAATAGCAAGCAAGCTTGCCTGTCTGCTCAGTGGTCGTAGGTTTCAACCCCCTGGGTTTAAAAAAAAGACAGATTAAGACTCCACATTTCTTCTACTACTTCTTTTTCCCTTCCTCTAGTTTCTCCGGCAAGAATTTTAGAGAACTATAAAAAGCTTTTTTCATACGAAATTTTGAAAAAGGTCAGTTTTAAAAGATTTTTGACCTAGCAGAAATTTAAAACTAGTCAAGATCAACTTCAATGCACCTGGTGTTATTCCATATAGCTTGGCGTCTCTCTAGCAGAGTGGCTAGCCGCATGCCGATGGCGCTGCACAAAGCACGAGCTCGGTAACTCCAGTGACATTTCCTAGGGATCTCTAAAAAAACTACACGCGAACTGAGCGGCGGGTACTTAAAACGAAACCACCTCCTCCGGAGCGTGAGGCCGGTTAGAGTCTCCGTCACAGGTTTGTTTGGTGTGTTTAATTGGTATTTATATGTGTTTGTGCTGGCACAATCCTTATGTATGTTCTTTTGCATTTGACGTGTGTTTGTATGTTACACATTGTACGAATATGTCTGCCTATGCGTGGGTATTTGCACTCTTTTGTATATACATATATATTTGTACCTGAATTTGTAATTTTTATCCACATCACGTTTCATAATTTAGTTAGTTAGTCGGCAGATTCTCCTCATTGCACATTGAACTATTGAGCACCGAGTTCTTAGATCCCCCTCCTCGGTAAATCCCGCAACGGCTGACGACACCAATCCTGTGTTGGTTTCTTATTTTAATTTGACTTCCTGCACAGTGCTCTTGTTTGGCAACACCACTTTGAACATATTGTTCTTGCGGTCTGGTTATGGTTGCAGATTCAGTCATCACGTGGTTCTCGCACCCGGCTTACTTCTCGTTTTATAAGTGCGTTTAAGTAGTCTGAATGTGCTTAAAGAATAACAATGACTCCCACACACGCACCCAGAAGCGTGCACAGCCACGTACGCATCCACACAAACACACATATGCTGACACCACGTAGCAGTTTTAAGTTTAAATGCTACGCTGGTCCCTCCCTTTTCACACCACTACACACTAGCTCGCTTCTGATTGAACGACCTACACACCACCTCACTTCTTCTTCTGCGTTCGATATCAGGCATGCTAAACACTGAGTCCCGTCTGGGTCACAAAAAGGATTGTGCGTTTAAGGTCGCCACCGGTCCCTCAAAGCTTCTCTTGCTTCTCTTGGGCCAGATCCCCACTCTTTGCTGGGAGAGGTTATGGCAGTACTGCAGTATGTGCTCAGGGGTCTGTCTTTTTTCTCCACAGTCACAGGCAGCAGATTCTTTTATGCTTATCCTGTACAGGTGTGCTCGAAGACCACAGTGTCCGGTGTTTTGGTTTTCTTCTAGCTGTGTGATGGATGAGGTTGTGGAAGATTACTCCCAGCTTTTGCCAACTCATCTGCTCTCTCATTTCCTTGAATACCACAGTGGGCTGGTATCCACTGCAAGACAAGCTCTGCTTCCTTGGCGAGTAAGCCAATGTTGGTTCTCAGATCTGCAATTAGTTTGTCTTGTTTTTTGCTTGATAGTGCTTGGAGAACAGACAATGAGTCACTAAGTATAACAATGTTGTGCCCTCTAAGTTCTTGAGTGATTAGATGTTGGACTGCAGCTCTGACGTTAGTGCAGATGTCACCTGCTGGTAGAGTTTCTGCTCTACTGCTAGGGTTTTAATGTATATTCCACAGATCCCCTTTCTGACTGCATCTGTAGCAGAGCCGTCGGCGAAAACCTGAGTCCAGGTGGTGTTTGGATACTTCTTATCAGGCACAGCAAGAGCCAGCGTTCTTTGTTGTGTCTCCGTCTGGGCATCGTTTGAAGTGATCCCTGGTACCTTTAAATCTACATTTGCCTTCTCTTGCTTGCTTGTCCATGGTTCTGGCCTAAGTTATTCACACAGTGCAACATCTCTTTCAAGCAGATCTTGGTGCTGACCTCACTTCTGATAAGTCAGCCTCGAGCGATCCGACTTTCACACAAGGTCATGCGGTTATTCCGCACTCGCGTTGATACCGCGTTTTGTATATTTTACCATGCCAGAGCTTTAAACACTCTTAAAACATGTAGATACTAGGTCTAACAGACAACCCCCCTAGAGAGTAACAAAACCTATGTCACAGACCGCATCTTTCTCGGAAAAAAAAAACGTAAATACAAGTAAACAACAGACGGCGACACCCATAACTTTGACCCCGGTAGACTAGTCCAACCAACTTATCAATGAAGTTGACCTACAGCCGGTAGTGTGTAAATGGGGAGACCATCGTATAAATAGCCGTTTTAAGCTATACCCTGTTGTGTCTGAAGCACCTCACAAAACCGGAATGGTTACTAACGTAGACAAGTGGGTGTCTCCATGGGGCTTTGAAGTGCTGTCCTATTCAAAATTACTATCAGCTGTGAATGTGTGTATATTAGGGATGGGTGGGTGGGATGGGGTGGTATTGAGCCAGTGAGAAGGGGGAGGAGAGAGAGAGAGAGAGAGAGAGAGAGAGAGAGAGAGAGAGAGAGAGAGAGAGAGAGAGAGAGGGAGAGGGAGAGAGAGAGAGATGTAAAAAGTCATGATGTATGAACATCAAGATGAGATTGAGTCATGCTGTCACTGCTGATATACATACATTGGCCATTATCAAGACGGATGACAGATATTCCGAGTTTACATAAGAGAGGAATGGGGTATCATCGTGTGATATTCCCAAAGACACCAGTCGATGCACTTTACTCAACCCCCACTGGGGAGACAGTACACATAAACACTACTTCTTGTTCTCAAAGTCCATGCCGTTGTGGCGTCGGTAGTCCTGTCTATTCGCAACCTTTCTGTCTCGTGTATTTCAATAAACTCTGACAAAGATGATCACCCACGCCACGATGTCAAACTTTCCAGCATCTTTTCTCTCGCTCTCCCTCTGCTTCTCCTTCCCTCAAAATGTCCAATGTCATGGTGTACTCCAGTTGCATCCTTCCCATCACATGTCCAAATAATGTAGATTGTCTCTTTCGGACGTGGGCAATAAGTTCCCTTTGTCACAGTTTCTTTCAAGACATCTTCATAACCCTTTGTAGTCTGTCCAGGGTATTCTTACACAAACACATTTTGGTAAATTTCCAGGTCCATATGAGCCCCCTCTCCCTCCTCAACAGCCAGCATAGTCTCCATACTGACGGATACCGGCTGAAATCGGGTTAACTATTCATCTTGCCTTTTCCCCAGTCTCAGGCGCCCAGAGCCCGCAGACACTCTTCGGTGCGTCATTCTTTCCAGATAGGAATTGTCGGTCCCTTTCACGTTTCCCGGTCATTTTACACGCTGTCTGTCCTTTCATTCATACTTTCTCAGACTCTTCTACGTCAGAGGGGTGTCACGTTGTCTTACCTCCAATTACAAAGCGCCGATGTCGCGTGTTCTATACTACACGACGACACAGCTTTCATCCACCCTAAAACATCTAGAACTGGCCCTAACCCAAACCCCCCTACCAACAACTGTAGAAATCAGCACCAAGCGATCTGCTGTCAAACCAGCTGCGGCTTAATCGAATCGGGTCGGGACAACCGCTGGTACCAACAGTTAAAGGACAGAGATGGCGCTTAACCAAAAGGCAGTGAAATCGGAAACAAAAGGATCGAGGAAACGTCAAAAGAAAACCAACAACCTGTGAGATGAGATGTTTGAGAATGGCTGTGAATAAAATCAGAAGAGATCGAGTGAGAAACGACGTGATCATAAGAACTGTTAGAACAACACCCATCGTCAAATTTATTCAGAAACATAGAATGAAATGGTTTGGCCATCTAATGAGAATGAAACCAACGATGCCAGCAGCAAGAGCGTACAACCTGAAAATAGAAACATCAAGAGGCAGGGGATGACCTAGAAGAATATGGATTGAAGGAGTCACTGACACCTTGAGACTGCATAACCACGACACATCAAGCGACTGAGCGCGCCCTGGCTCGGCTGTTGATAGACTATGAACTGCGAAGCCTAGCGGCATAAGCAGATAATGACAACAGAAAGAAAGAGAATGAGAAACGATGACGTCCTAGAGAAACCCTAAGGTGAATACCGATGAGAGAAGCCAAAGGTGCTGGACTGCAGGATCCCATCCCTGATATCCAAGTAAGCACATGGTATAACGGAATGGGAAATACGTAAAGGCCGGCCCTATATGACATAAAATGAAATAAAAGGACAATACATTAGTAAGGGAATGAATAAAGCAAGGAATTACAAACC